AAAGCACGGTTGGGTTTGTGGGCAGAGTGCGAGAGCGTGCGCGCCGTGGAGGAGAGCGAGAAAATGAGAGTGATTTGAAGGTAAATGAGCTCTCTAGGGAACTTTAGGTTCTAATCATGGTCCTCAGCAGAGCCGAGGCTAACTGCTTGCCATCAGTATGTCTCTGTTTTTCACTCTCTCTCTTTGCTTTCTGCATCTCAGCGGTTGTTTTTTTTCTCTCTTCTTCTTTCCCCGGTGCTCCTCCTCCACGAGCTGGACTCGATCGCGTGGTTATTATGTGCGCGCAATCGGTGCACGTACGCGTTCGCAAACGCCGGTTTCGAGAACTCGGTTCGTCCACTTTGTTCAACGGCGTTCTCGCCGGCTGCCGCAAAAGATAATCTTTCACGAATAACAACTTTTAGGTGTTCTAATGTAATCTACCGCTGGATTAATGCCTCCCGCATGCCATGTTTGTCACGTGTGTTGAATGGCCATACATCACCGCACTGGTGGGTACTGCGGACGTTATCAATGACCTGGAATCAAACTCGGGATACCGGGTTGAACTGGCAACAACATACTAACCACTACCCCACCACTCCACCGCCAAATAATTAATTGTAATGTATTTGGAGGGGGGGGCAATGTTTAAATCTGCAAATTGGGTCTGTGGCACTAGTGCGCAGTGGCCTATTATGTAAGCAGCATCACCAGTTGTCTGACATGAGCCTTCAAAGCAAATGATGCATTTTGTTTATACCCAACAAACAAATACAAGGCAGCTGTGGGAATTGAACCCATCGACCATGTGCGAAGTGGCTCGGTAGCAGGGCGTGGTAAACACGTGGCTTTACACCCACCCTGGATTCCAAAGAAGGGTGCGTAATTGGGCACCAAATCCGGCCTCGTCCTATTTATGTGTAATCTGCCAATTGGGTTTGTGTGCCGTCGCGCCTTTGAAAACGCAGATCGGTGAGCCCACACGATCGCGTCCAATCATTCGAACGATGTTCGTTGTAGCTCATTGCGGGTTTTCTCTGTAAGTTGTCAAAAACAAATCGTACCCTCTTTTTTTACCATTTCATTTTTCCAAACGGAATTGCAATGGCTAAGGTAGGAAACGAAACTGGTCGGAAAATTGCATTTTAAAATTTAACAAACCAAATAAACAAACAAATTAATGGCATATAAATACAATCAAAATGAAACGCCTGGCAAACAAAAAAAAAACATATTCATTGGGCCGTGTCATTCCGTCTAGCACATGGGACTAATATTTCTTGTACGTCAGCTCGCCGTTTGTATGCGGGGGGGGGGGGTTATTTTTATTTTTTGCCCAGAGCAGCCCGTTAAGAGATAAATGATCGGTATTGCTGAGCGGGGGGGGGGGGGAGAATATTGCTGCGGTGGTCTGTGTGCATCGATTGCCTCTGGGTTGTAGCGGATAGCCGATCGGACTCTGCTAATTACCAGCGCCCCAAGGCCAGTTACACAACCCTGGCAGCCCGGCCAACACAGGGGGGCTCTCGGTTCATTTGTCAGCAGAGCAAAGGGGGTGTGGGAGGTGGAGGTAAATTCTGTTTGTTGCAGGCGTTTTAGCAAGCCGATTTGTTTTCTTTTGATGTCGGGAGAACCAAATTAAATCTTAAAAACTCAACAACCCGTGTAGGGGCCAAGCGCCGACTCGAAACGGCACCGTTGGAAAAGCGGGGAAATTGTTACAAGGCTCTTTCAGAGGTGTACTTTACCCCACGCCTGGTGCGATTTCATTGTTCATACAGATTCTATACATATACGCATTCAATAAATGAAGCCATTGCTTATATATCGAATGAATTTCATTTTGATAAAATACTAAATGTATTGTAATGTCTATATAATTAGAGGGGAAAAATACTAGTGTTCAACCATGTCCGTTGCTTGCATTTTCAAGCAATAGATTCCAGTAATGTCCGTGGCAATACCATCCGGACCTTGCTAATGCACATCCTAAATGCCATTTCTCACATTCAGAAGACATATATTGCTGTGGCAATCCCAATCCTATCTGAACACCGTTGTTTATGCTGCTATCGTGCTTAGGGTGCCGGTATTCTAAAGAATCACGTCCGGCTAGTTTCGGAAGCATCAGATTCCATCGGAAGGTCAGATTTTAGCTCGCATTTGTCAGCTCGTTTTGGCTTTTACTATTGAACTGTGACTCCAACCATCCATGCAACGGCTGTCGGAAAACGGTAGGGGGGGGGGGCTGGTTTGGAGGTATTAGTGGGACACCTGGGAAATAAGGATGCTTTGCAGTTCTGCTCTGATGATCCTGTGATGTACATCAGTTTAGCTTCAGCCAAAAAAAACGGGATAGCGATGGGGCCCCTCTCAAAAAGCCTGTTAACTAGTGACGGCCGTAAAAACAGCGTGTCACCCCCCCCCCCCAAATCTTCATACCCTCCCGTTTCAGATCGCTGCCCCCTTACTCTGCACCCCCATCTCATAGCCTCCGCCGGCACCGCCCACTAATGTGTGCGAAATATTTCTGCCCGCTCCCTTCCGAGCGTATTGCCCGCAGGAGAGCGGCAAACGATTTTGGAGGGAAATTGGCTCGCTGAGAGGCCGTTTCATTTATACAGCAGCCGGCACGGACGCGCTACAATCTCGACAACCCACGGCCGTGACACATTACAAATACAATCTGAGGACCTCTGTGCATGGCCAACAGACCTCTGACCACTCCAATCCTCGTGCCTCCCTTCACCCCTCCTGAGTACCCCCCCACCCACCCACACTGCCTCTCAACCCACCGCCTATTCCCCTCTCCGCGTGGATTTGAGAAATCGTTTTTACGGTTTTTGGCGTGAGATTGATTCTGGAGGCTCGCGTCCGCGTGTCACATTGCTCGCGTGGCGTTCGCCTAGTGAGTGAGGGGGGGTGGGTCGGAAGACCGGGTCGCGTCGAGCGGGCGGCCGCGTATGACGGACCCGTCGCTATGTCGCGGGTCCTTCTCCCCGCCCCGATCGCCCCTTATCGAACACGAGTTTTTACAACGTGTCAGACAGACCTCAAGCGTCCAGCCACTCGATACGACTTCTCCCAGCGCACGGCCGCGCCGAGAGGAGAAAGAGAGAGAGAAAAAAAATACAATAACCAGCGCAAACGCTGTCATAATATCAACCGATACAAACAATGTCAGTGGACTCTGGCTGACTCGAGCCATTGCGACCACTTTACAAGTGCACAGCAGCGATGTGAATTGTCGAGCGTGCAACGGTCCTTTTGTTGAGGGCATCCATACGCTATGATGTGGCTCGTGAAGCTTGTTTCACCAGATTCCACAATGCCCATCAGTGCCGGTTGGTGAAGGCAGGGAGCCTAGATGCGAGAGCATAGAAGTACGGTACAACAATTGATTTGACTATACTGCCCTCTGCTGCACAGGAAGAGGTCCCGCAGCAACCTACAACGCTTTTAATGCATGACGGCGGTCGCCTATCCAAGCACTTTGCAAATGAGTGATGCTTAGCATCTGAGATGTGATGAGATCGGGCGCATTCTGGATGATTGTAACAGAGCAGTTGTGCAGTTTTATTGTACACCAAACGATAAGATGAATGCGTACTGATGGGTTTATTCAGTTGTTATATTAATCTACTTGCGTTTATTTAACAGTGTTTATGTACCTTTTTCTTTATCGATATGCTAGGCATGCGTCTGTTTTGCGTATTTCAACGGTGCCATATTAGTCATCACACTTCTGAATGTGAAAGCGAGACGTGGACTGGGTGTTTGTTTGTTGAACTTGCTGAACTGCACATTCCATGTTGTGTTTCACATGCCTGGGGGTGGAGTGGTGGCACAGTGGTTAGCGCACGCTGAGCTGTGTTCGCTTCCCGCCCACGGCTAACATTAGTTGCAAGTGATGTCCGAGCCAGTCCTGAGTTTGGTGAAGTATGGTCAAACAACCCCCATGCAACACGGTATGGGGAGGCCTTCATCCAACGATGTATTGACAAAGGCTCTGTATTATTGTTATTATGGTATATTTCATCTATCGAAGTGAATGGTAACAATATCGGCGTGGGCTTTACCGTAGTCTTGAAATGAATGTTAAATTGTCTACTCCCAATTTATTTACATATCCCATAAACATGCACATAATTATCGCCCTTGATTTAATCTTTAGCTTTTGTTAATTATTTAACCATCATCAATCTGTTGCAGGGATCAGCTGGACCAAGGAATCGTTTTTTTTATATATATACCTGAACATTCCAGTCTTGGCTTTAATCACAGGACATGGTCAGGGACGCGGTTACACAATGCCATCGTACTGATGATGTACCCAAACGGTGGTGTCTTTGTCATGCTGAAGAGCAGGTGGCCTTTCCTGTTACTCATTTCATATGAACAGAGCTTGTTCCCAACAGGTCAATTGCAAAACACTAATTTGGGAGAAACTTGATCACCCACAAAACCTAATTGTCTTGCAAGTAGGCATTTGTTGAGAGTAAGTGAATTCAGTGGCTGAAGTGAGTGAATTATTCTGCAGTCATCTATAGGGAGATAATACAATGAAAACGACTGCAAGTGAATAGTAGTGTTCTATTGAGGCTGGCATGGGTTATCTTAAAAATGTGGATTTTCATGTTTTTACAGCACTCTCCACGATTAAACAGCCATAAAATACCAGCAAAAAGCCTCATCGAGCACGATGTTTTTTTACTTCATCATCAGAATTTTTGTTATTCAATAACATTGGATATTTTCAGGCAGCAAATGTATGCCTAAATTTATAAATAGTCATATATTTTGACTACATATAAATCCAATATCTAAAGCGCAATATTTATGGAACTTCACAACACATGAATGTTTCTGTGCACTTTGTGTTGCCTGGAACCTTCGTGAACCATCTTCGAGATCTATCTGCCGCTCTAGGAAGCCCCTCAACACAATATCTCATGTCTCGCGATGCAAACCAATGCATCTGATTCCTGCACACGAGCTGACTTCATCGCTCAACTTACGCGGTTAATGTCCCCTTGCACGTGCCCCGGCCTTCGGCTGCCACTCCACCGTTAGCCTTGACCGCCGGCCATCGTCTCCTCCAGCGACGGTGTCCTTCCAAAGCCCACGTACCTGATGTCGTAACAGACTTGCTACGAGACGTACGCGAACTGCAACAACAACAACAAAAATGATGGCTCAGGGTTGAATTCTTACGCGTAGTATCACAACGGTGACTTTACGTTTTCTGTCACATCATTTATTCACACGGTGGGTTTTTTTTCTGCTCGTGCCTCTTTCCTCTTTGTAGGTGAATTTTCATCGGCGTTGGCAACCAGCAGGGAACGCCTTTTGACCAGCGCCATCTCATGGAAGTTTACTTAATTGACCCTGTGCCGTTTGGTATTAAGAAACACACAGTTTACGCTTTCGCACCAGAAAGAAAAAAACCGCTAAACAAAATATATATAATCCTGCGCGTCTGTAGTGTGCAGCTGATCTAGAGGCATCTACACAGGTGCAAGACGCAACAGAAATGTGATTCCTAGCAGGTGACGGCGACCACATCACTTCAAATATTACAAGCTATGGGCCGCGTGTGACCTGTTTGGTTTTTCGTAAGTTTCCATAATCTATGGTGCCCCTATTCAATGTGTGGGCATCGTAAATAATTAACAGTTATGATATTCTTCTTGGTTCTTTCGGTGAAGTCACGTAGAAGGGAAATAATTAAATAATAAAAAATAAAACACCATAAAATAATTCTCACGACGTCTCGGCCACAACGCAAGCAGCCGTCCTCAGGTGAAGAACAGGTCTGTCGGAAAACAGCGTCTTATTATTTTATTATTTTACTATTTCCCTTTTACGTGACTTTACCGAAAGAACCAAGAAGATGAATCCCTGCAGTCACTAAAGCTTTAAATCTAAAGTTGTGATATTGTTAACAATTTACAACGCTTTGTGGATCCACTGCTGGATGAAGGCCTCCCCACATCGTGCTGGGTTGTCAGTGTGGGTTGGTGAAGGGGAGAGGCCAGGACCGGTTCAGACATCGCTCGCCACTCAACGTTAGCCAAGGCTTGGACTCAAACTCATGTCACTGGTTCCATAGCGCAATGTGCTAACCATTAAGGCACTGCTCCACCAATCAATAAATATGCGCATATATATATTGTAAAAGCCATTTTCGAGCATTGATAGCCATACGTATTGGTAGACATATAATGGTAGCTTGATTGTGATCAAAAGGGACAGCTGCCATTGAAGAAGTGATCCACAAAGCATATCCAGTACAGCAGTGCCAATAATGCTCCAGTCAACCTCGCCGGGCCAGCTCCCAAATTCCCCCAAGTTCACCACATCACAGGTACCCCCCTCCCCAGCAGCTCACTCCACACCTCTCCTGCATCCCAGAGGTGGTGCTAGACATAAGCAAACTAAGCAAATGCTTCGGGACTCAAACTTCTCAAGGGGTCACAGATGTGTGAAAAACGCAAACAAATTGCGAGTGAACAAAATATCTGCACGAATTTCGCTACTGATATGCATTCAACATAACTCATTAAAACACTAATCTATCCCATCCCCACCTTATCTGTATCTGTCTTCTCCCATCGAACCTCATCTTCGCCTCTGCGTCTCTGTAATTTCACTCCACACCTGTCTCAATTGCATCTCTCTGTGTCACCTTCATCTGTCTTCACGATAGTGACGTCTACATTCGTCGACGTTTCTCTCATCTTGCTGCAGCTCCGTCTCCTCTCTATCTTCTCCCTTCCGACATCTCGCTAGGATTCATATTCTTGGTTCTTTCGGTAAAGTCACGTAGAAGGGAAATAACAAAATAATATAAATATAAAACAATACAAATTCTCACGACGTTTCGAAAATAGTCTTGCTGTGGATTTCACACCTGATGATGATTGCTTGTGTTGCAGTCGAAACGTCGTGAGAATTTTTATTGTTTTATAGTTATATTATTTTGTTATTTCCATTCTACGTGACTTTACCGATAGAACCAAGAATATGAATCCCTGCAGTCACGAAAGCTTTAAATCGAAATTTAAATCTCGCTAGGAGTTTATAAATGGAAAGATGGGTGGGTGGCGTGGATGACGGGAGGAGGGGGGGGCATCCAAAATAATTTCCGCTTCGGGCACACAGTGGGCAAATGCCACCACTGCACTCCCCACTCTCCGTGAATGTCCCGCTAGGCTGCTGATGCTTCTGCTGCTGCTGCAGGCAGAGGCGATGTCTTTCTCGCATATCCTGGCTGCCTCTCCATCGCCCCCCCCCCCCTCACGCCTTATCTGTCTGCAATGACGGATAATTAAATATGTATCGTTTGCTGAAAATGTTCTATGTGGGCTAACGCTTTAAAAATTTATGGCCTGAATGAATAAGGGCCAGCCTCGGCGGGCCTTAATTAACGAAGCAAAGTCAAATGACCCGACTGTGTAATTAAGGAAGAATAAAATATCAGCTAATTAAATACATGTCATATTACCGGTAATTACCCATCATTATTCCTATAATTTAGTTGCATGCCTAACTGGAAGCTAAAAGCCCTGCTTCCTTTAAGCCAGCAAAGGCTTATCAACAAGAGGCCTAGGTAAGATGCTGTAAAGATTGCCAGAGGGGACATGCATTATTTCTTTTACATCTCTGCACAATTAAAACATGTACAGATATGCCCACATGCAAAACTGCTACGCTCCGCTCTGCCAGGCTACTGCATGCAGCGCAATCACGCTTCCGACAAACGGCAAGTCTATTGACGGTGATTTAGCGCACACTGGACTTGCGATCGAGAGGTTCGCAGGTTCACTCTCCCAGCGTGGCAGTCGAAACCGTGGGAAACTGTATTCACATCTCCCCTGCCCCGCTCAACGGTATGAATGTGTACAACACAGTCGATCAAACAGGCCACGCGTGGTGGGGTGAAGTGTGGGTTTAGTGGATGCCCTTCCTTGAACAAGGAATTGCGTAGGGACGGGAAGACTAATGCGTTACCATTAGCCTTCACGTCCCACTGCATTTGTTTGGAATTTAAAGTTTGACTCATTGTCTCAAACCTCGGCATGTAGTATTACCAGAGGACTAACGTGGGGGGGGGGGGGGTGGAGTGGCAGCACAATAGTTAAGCACGGTGCACTGTGAACTTGGCAACCTGAGTTTGATTCCTGATAACGGCTAACACCGGTATCTGAACCACACCTGAGCAACCCCCCCCCATCCTTCAACAACCTGCACTACCGGCATTGTGAAGTAGGGTCAACCCCCCCCCCCATCCTTCAACAACCTGCACTACCGGCATTGTGAAGTAGGGTCAACCCCCCCCCCATCCTTCAACAACCTGCACTACCGGCATTGTGAAGTTGGGTCAACCCCCCCCCCATCCTTCAACAACCTGCACTACCGGCTTTGTGAAGTAGGGTCAACCCCCCCCCCCATCCTTCAACAACCTGCACTACCGGCATTGTGAAGTAGGGTCAACCCCCCCCCCCCATCCTTCAACAACCTGCACTACCGGCATTGTGAAGTAGGGTCAACCCCTCCCCCATCCTTCAACAACCTGCACTACCGGCATTGTGAAGTAGGGTCAACCCCCCCCCATCCTTCAACAACCTGCACTACCGGCATTGTGAAGTAGGGTCAACCCCTCCCCCATCCTTCAACAACCTGCACTACCGGCATTGTGAAGTAGGGTCAACCCCCCCCCATCCTTCAACAACCTGCACTACCGGCATTGTGAAGTAGGGTCAACCCCCCCCCCATCCTTCAACAACCTGCACTACCGGCATTGTGAAGTAGGGTCAACCCCCCCCCCCATCCTTCAACAACCTGCACTACCGGCATTGTGAAGTAGGGTCAACCCCCCCCCCATCCTTCAACAACCTGCACTACCGGCATTGTGAAGTAGGGTCAACCCCCCCCCCATCCTTCAACAACCTGCACTACCGGCATTGTGAAGTAGGGTCAACCCCCCCCATCCTTCAACAACCTGCACTACCGGCATTGTGAAGTAGGGTCAACCCCCCCCCATCCTTCAACAACCTGCACTACCGGCATTGTGAAGTAGGGTCAACCCCCTCCCCATCCTTCAACAACCTGCACTACCGGCATTGTGAAGTAGGGTCAACCCCCCCCCCCATCCTTCAACAACCTGCACTACCGGCATTGTGAAGTAGGGTCAACCCCCCCCCCATCCTTCAACAACCTGCACTACCGGCATTGTGAAGTAGGGTCAACCCCCCCCCCATCCTTCAACAACCTGCACTACCGGCATTGTGAAGTAGGGTCAACCCCCCCCCATCCTTCAACAACCTGCACTACCGGCATTGTGAAGTAGGGTCAACCCCCCCCCCATCCTTCAACAACCTGCACTACCGGCATTGTGAAGTAGGGTCAACCCCCCCCCCCATCCTTCAACAACCTGCACTACCGGCATTGTGAAGTAGGGTCAACCCCCCCCCCCATCCTTCAACAACCTGCACTACCGGCATTGTGAAGTAGGGTCAACCCCCCCCCCCCCCCATCCTTCAACAACCTGCACTACCGGCATTGTGAAGTAGGGTCAACCCCTCCCCCATCCTTCAACAACCTGCACTACCGGCATTGTGAAGTAGGGTCAACCCCCCCCCCCCTCCCTATGAAAAGCAGAGCACATGTTGAGTAGGGTTACCACATTTTCCACTGTAGACCAAACCTGACCATATTTCTCAGTCGGCCTTGGTCTGGCCAAACTGGGCAGTGAACCGTGTTGAAAGTCAACACAACCCCAGTACCAGATGTTTGTAGAAAACCAAATGCTGGCATCTGAACGCAGAGGCCAATTCCTGGACTGGCAAATTCAAACGTGGACATTTGGCTGCTATAAATTTCCGCATGATAAGCCACTTCGTTGAGCTATCGTTCATGGTCAGGTCTCTTCTGAAAAGAGCTGTATTGCTCAGTGGGCCTTACCTGTTAAAATAAAAATAGTAGTAATAGGAAGCCCTCATCCAGAATCGGATTTTGACAAAAGGTAGTACATTAAATTAGCTATATAGCTAAATGGGCCTTACCTGGTAAGATACAAAGGTTCGTTTTTAGTTTAGTTTAGTTTTCATCCAGCCATGGATTAACAATAGGCTCTAAATTATTACTGTAATCGTTATCATAATAA